TTGTGTGAAATGGGAGCTTGGCGGAGCCTTTGTGCGGATCTCAAGCTCCCTGAAAAATTTATTTACTGTGACTGTGATCTGCAGGAGCGAATTGATGTTTATCTATAGCTGTTCATGCCAGCAAGGAGGGCAAAAATGCATAACTGCACTTTCTTCAGGAGTCTTGCGAGGCTGTTTAAATAAGTATCTAATAGCGAACTTTCAATAGCAGACAGGCAGTTGACAGACAGGGTACAGTGTATTATTAACCATAAGCAGGCTTAATCTTTCCCCCATGTTTTAGAGGAAGCTTTATAACCTACTGGCCGAGGAATCTATGAGAACCAGGTATTTGAAGCTAAGCAAAATTATCCTGGCCACTCCAGTGGCAGAATCAATACCTCCAAGAGTTGCATGAAGGAGGGAAGCAGAGGCTGCGGCTGGGCCCAGCATGAGCAGCTCCAGCCACCTCATTGTAGCTGAAGGTCAGGAGAAGTTGACAGGGACCAGGAGCTAGCTGGCAGGGGGAGGCAGGAGTCGTGCCTAGAGCCTGGCTTTCCCGTTGGGTAAGTAACTTCTGTTGCCTGAGCATGGGGGGCCAGTGGGGACAGGGAACAGGGTTGTGTGTCCCCCCCCCGTGTCCTGGTTGCAACAGTACCTGGCTTTTGGTGGCATCTGCCTTTTTAAGCAATAGAAAGGGTTTATGTGATTGTTCAGTGCATGTGTCTTGCCCATGGAACCAGAGGTTTTGTGGGGCCTGGAAGCTGTCTTGTTTAGCCACAGTGGCTCCCTTGATCTCTGGGAGAAGGTAGACTCTCTAGGTTATGAGATCCTCCCCTAGTTCCCTACCTGGTCCTCATCACCTTAAGAGTGATGGAGCCTTCAGTGTCTGTCTCTCCTCTATTGGAAGGTCAGCTGCAAGAGCCTGGGGACTCATCACCTCCCCGTCAGTATCCCCAGCACCGAATGCCCCCTGGCATCTCTTACAGGCTTGGTTTCTATTTGTTGAATGACTGGCTGTGGGTTTTCCTGGGGAGGGAACAGCTGTGGTTAAGAGCATGAATGTCAGATAGACTTGGGATCAAATTCTAGTCTGTTACCTGCTGTGTGTTCTCAGGCAAGTGGCCTGCCCTCTCTGAGTCTTTGTTTCCTGTTCTATAAAATAGGGTAATGGGAGAAGTGACTTTACTGTTTTAAATCTTGATTTCCTCATCTGTAAAATAAGCATAACACTGCTACCTTCCTCCAGGGCAGTAGTGAGGGACAGATGAGAAGGTGCTAGGGATGACTCAGCATGAGTCCAGCGTAGAGCTGGTGTTCAGTGAATTATAGCGTTATTATTAAAATTGTTTTTATCAATATTACTGTTATTACCACCACTACTTTTTCTCTGCATGACTCAAGGGAAATCACAGCCTCTGCCCATTTTATCTGCTTTGGACAGTATTGTGCCCTTTCAGTGTCCCAAGCACAATGTGGGGACACGCTGCATGGCCCCAGAAGTGGCCTGGAGGGAGCCCCTGCCAGTGATGGCAGCTCACCTGGATCTGCTGGGTGCCACAGCTGTGAGCTGCTCCTGGAGCTCAGACCCCCGTGCGCATCTGAGCTTCCTCCAGCAAGGGCTCGGGGGCTGGTAGAGTTGGCAGTGAATCGAGGGGCAGCAGGGAGTGCAGGGGTGCAGTGAGCCTAAGTAGCGTGGCTCACGGATGAGTGACAGCCCCGGGATTATCTGTGCCGCCGAGCCCCCCATCAATGGGGAGAACCAAGAGCTGCCTGGCATTTAGAGCACTATCATCACCAGAGCCTGGTTCACATTCTCGTGGCCACCCAGGGGGTCCAGAATGGAATCTCAGGTTCCCTAACTGCCCAGGCCAAGGCTCTCTATCTGCCCTAGTCTGCTCTAAACCCTCTGTCCTTTCTTCCTGCTCTCCCAGAATCAAGTGGGTTTACCCAAATTATCATCATAATGTCCACCGTGCACAGAGCACAGGGAGAGGCCAGCCCTGTGCTGGGAGCTCCGCGTGTGGAATCTCAGGCACTTCTGTGACTTATGCCCATTTTCCAGGTGAGGAAACTGAGGCTCAAAGATGTGAAGTCATTTGCGCGAAGCTTCACAGCATTCCCACCACCTGTCCATCTTTTCTGTTGCTTTAAGTCCCCACTTTGCAGCTCAGCTTGTCTGCAGCCTCCTCTTTTCCTCCAGAAAGCAGGACCAGGTGGGTGGCTGCCAGGTGGGTTGGTGAGTAGAGCTGGAATTGTCCAGGAGCCCCAGCTAAAGAAAGTTGGGGGGTAGAAAAGACATTGGCTGCAGAGGGTATGTCTTAGTTCTCAAGATAAAAAGTATTAAATTCTAAAAGTAGGGTATTGTCAACCCATCAGGCTGAGCCCAGCACCCCCGAATGTCCTGCATTGTGGTCATTCCTGTTCCCTTCTCATGCTAACCCCATCCTGACTTCTGACAGGAGCTCTGGTCCATATGTACACAGTAAGGTGATATGTGTGTCACCCGAGACCACCAGGTGTGGCCTTGGAGTGAAGACGCACACTGTTGTGGGCTGAACATGAGGGTCTCAAGTACTCAGGTGCCTGTCTTGGGGGGACAAGCCCCACTACCTCCCCTTGCTTCCTGCTTCATTTCAGGGGGGTTTTCCCCTGATGACTCACCTGCAGGTCCCCAAGCCCCCCAACCTCCAGACAGCAGCAGGGGGAGTTGAGGAGGAAGTGGAGGAGCCTGGGTCTTTCTTTTTTTTTTTTTTTGGCTTTATTTATTAGAAACAAACTAACATGAGAGCTTAGAGCAAAGTGACAGCAGCAGAGGAGCTTAGAAATTATGTTAATCACAGCAGCAAAAACTAATATACATTAATGCATCTACTCTGGGGAGCCCCCAGATAAATAAGATGGGCTCCTTCTCTCAAGGGGGTCACCAAGGAGACAGGGCCACTTACTGCAGCACAAGATGGCTTTTTCTACAACAGTGGGTACCACACTCGGCAGGTGCTCAGATTCAGGAGCAGAAAGGAGCCGCCAAGAGACTGTTTGAAGCAGGTCTTTAAAGATGAGTTTGCCATGCAGGGAGTTAGGGTGGCTATTTTATACTTGGGAACAGCACCAGACACTGGGAACTGTGTGGACATCAGCACAGAGGATGAGAACCGGGGCTCTGGGACATTGTGAGTCATTTTATTGGGATGGAGGTGAGCTTGGAGTGGTTGGTGGGCATCAGATCAGGCAAAGCCCCCTGGGCCACCATATAGAGTTTGGACCTTTCCCTGAGGCTGTGGGGTGGGGCGAGAATTTGGGGGGTTAATTCTAAGAGCTATAGGAAGCCATTGAGGGGTTTAAGCCAGGGGTGGTAGTGACAGGAGCCACTTGCCTTTTGCAAAGAGCTCTCGGGCACTATGGAGAAGAGGGGTTGTTGGGGGAAGATGGGGAGGAGCTGTGGCGGTGGTCCAGGTCTGCATTCAGGGGGAGTGGGCCTGGGCCTGGCCTTGGCACTGGAGCTGCCCAGGAGAGGGCTGATGTAGGTGCATTTCAAAGGGAGACTCAGAGTCCCTGGAGGGCGGACGCTGAAGCTGCTGTGAGCTGTCTGCTAACCTTTCTCTTTTCCATCCCACATTCGAATGCTCAGGGCCTGCAGAGCCCCAATTGGCAATATAGTGCCATGCTGACAGTTGGGAATGGCTGGAGGGGGCCTGCACCCCTCTGCCCAGAGCAGAGTGGACAGGAGCAGGGAGCCCATGTCACCTCCCTCTCTCTAGCAAGGACTTCTGGGGTCCCTCTTTCCTCGTTTCTCTATGGGAGTCTAGAGGAGGAAGAGTGTGAGCCGTGCTGGAGAGATTTGGCCCCGGCCAGCACAAGCTGGCTGTTCATTTATTTATTCATTCAGCAGCCACCAACTGGCTTAGCTCTGTCCGGTGTGGGGAGACAGGGAACATGGCAGACTGCTCCCTGCCCTTGAGGAGCCGAGGCAGGGACAGATCAAGAAGGAGGCAGACAGAACCAGCCTGGGAAGAGCTGTCTCCGGAGCCAGGGACCCAGGAGGCTTCTGGAGCTGAGGAGAGGTGCTCAACATAGCCTGGAAAGCCAGGGAAGCTTTCTGGAGAAGGCTGCCTCCATTATATGGCTCAGTGAAGGCAGAAACTGGGCTGCCCCATGCATGATGGGATCCCAGACCCCAATGATGTGGAATGAAGTGACTTGGAAGCTCAGACTCGAGGGTGACTAGGCACAGCTCTGACAAAGATGCAGGAAAGTGTGTTCAAGCTGGAGGGAACAGCTTGGGCAAAGGCTCAGAGGTGGACTTTGTGGAAATCATTGCTCAGAGTGCCTGGGACCTCCAGGATGGCAGGGATGGGGGGTGGTGGCAAGCACTGAGGCTGGAGGCTGGAGGCAATGCTGTTTTGGGGTCCAGGCCTCTGAGCTCATAAAAACAGCTCACTTTGCTTTCCCGGACCGCTGTGTGTTTCCCTTCTCCCTTAAGTCCTTGCCAAGCCTGGAAATCCGTGCTGGGTCACTGCTTGGGGGCGTGAGGTGAGACTCAAGTTTGCAGGCAGAGTGAATTGTGGGGTGATAGTATGGCACTCCAGTTCACATCTAGTCCCCCTATTTGTCAGGGGTAGATCTGCCATTTGAAAGCCACCTTCCTTGTATATGGAGCACATTGGAGGACAGGATTAGATCTGCAGGGATCCTGTCTGGGGTGAGACAATCTCCGGGGGGAGCAAGGGGGTGTCTCTTTGCCAGATTTGGGGTTCCCAGTCTCTCTGACCACCTGACTGCTATATCAGTGCTAAATGGTGCTCAAACTGGGGTCCACAGGGATGGTGTAAAATCAGACCAGGTGGCCAGCAGGTCCCTGGGTCAGTGCCCATCATGCAGAGTGACCCTTCGTCCCTGCAATGCCCAGCATGGCCAACGGGCAGCCCAGGAGTCAAGGGACCGTCTGGCTGGATCGAGAGCCAAAGAGGTAATGCTAATGTCTTTTAAAATTAGAATGAAAATGTTTATTGCAGAGCAGAACCTGCGTCAGCTCGGAGTCCTGTGGGAAGGGAAGGGCTTTATCGCAGCCTTTCGCTTTGATTTTTGCACATTCGCTTTTTATTTGCCGGCGGTACTTCCAAAGGGCCCTCAGAGTGGGCTCTGGATGCAGGGCCCGGGACACATCTGGACACTCCTGGGGGCCACAGAGAGCACCGGAGAGAGGCCAGGAGCTGTCCAGGGTGAGTGTGAGGACTAGGGGGTATGAGAGCAGAGGGCTGTGATTTGGCGCGTGTGTGTCCTTGTGTCTGTGTGTGCATCCAGTCTGATACATATGTGTTTCTCCGTGTGTCTATATCTGTGTGCATCGTGGCTTTGAGAGTCATCCACGTGCGAGACTGGCTGTGCATCTGTGTCTATGTATGTATGTGTTCATGAGTGGTGTGTGTCTTTCTGTATCTATCTGTGCATGACTTCAGGAGATGGCCATGGGTGTGGCTGGGCGTGGGTCTGGGAGTGCATCTCTGGGGCCCTGTGTGTCTTTTTCTATCTGTGCCTGGATGTGTGTGTGCATTGGGGAGGCATGTGTGTGCATGTATGCATGTCAGAGGGTGTGCATATGTGAGTATGAGCGTGTGTGTAAGCATGTGAGTGTGCATGTGTGTGAATGCATATGTGTGCGTGTGTTTGAACATGTGAGCATGTGTGGGGAGGGTGTCATGTACATGCATATTACATGTGTATGGTGTGTGAGAGCGTGTTGGGTGTGAGCACACGTTGCATGCGAGGGTTGCGCAGTGGTTTGTGTGAGCATGCATGTTGCGGGTGAGTGTGCATGTGGCGCTCTTCCATCTTCTCACATTGGGAGCCCCCAGCAGAGCCCTCCCTGGGTAGCTCAGCCTGCCACAGACCTCCTTGGCCCCAAGAACACAGCAGGGCACTTTGGAAAGACAACCAGCCTCCCACCCCAGCCCTAGCTCTGGTCAGAGACTTGAGAAACCTCCCAGATCCCTCTGAGGGTTGCAGCCCCTTTTAATCCACCACACTGCCAACGAAGAAGGTTTTGTTGAGCTTTGCCTTCTGTAGGTTGGGCAATAAAAACAATGGATGTTTTGCTTTTGGAGGAGTGTTGCTTGCCAAATATAAAATTATTTTACGATACGGAATGTGCTTTTCAAGATGCACCTGCCCCCAGCAGTGGGGACCTCTGGTTGACAATCACTGATCTGGCCCAGGGAGGCTGATTCCCTAGTACTGGTTATTGGGCTGATCCTTCCAGGGAAGCTACCCCCAGCTGGGTGGTGAGGAGCTCTACCCACAGCCCTGGAGATGCTCAAGGCCCCCTCCAGAATCCTGTCACCTGCAGGGCATGACCTGCCACAATTGCTTCTCCAGACAGAAAAAGCCATGCCCCAGAGGAAAACTGGTGGCCACTAGGCTTCTTCACAGAGTCAGAGGAACCTCTTTTTAATCTCTGTCACTGTCTGGCTCACCATCCTGTCACAGGGATTTGTCTTGTGATAACATGCTCTGCAGAACCGAGTGGCTGGGGTGGGAGAGTCAGATTTTACAAAGTAGTAACCAGGTGCTGTGCAAAATACAATACGACCAGGCAAGTGCTGAATGCAGATCGGGAGCCTGGCTTTGAATGCTGTGTGGCCTTGAGCATGTTGCTCAGCTTCTCTGAGCCTCAATCTTTTCACCTGTGAAGTGGGAATTGTGACAGTGCCAGGCTCAGGGCTGTCTCTCACTTGTTACCTTGACGTTTTTCTTGAACATGGCAGGTTTCCATGGGCCAGATGGCCTGGGCTCAGTGTGTCCTAGCTTCATGTGATCACAGGCAGGTTGTTTTATCTGGGCCTGAATTCCCTTACCTGTATAATAGGGCTAATAATAGTACCTACTGCATGGGGATGTTGTGAAGGTTAAATTCCTTACATTACATAAAAGGTTACAGTAAGTGCTATAGAGCATGAGCTATTATTGTTATTTCTGGAATGCCTGATCCCACATTAAAACATCCCGTCAGCACACAATATCACTTTTTTTTTAACACAACTTGTAACCCACTCTTTCTGCAGCCTTGCCCCCTCTATGCTGTCAGGCAGCTGCTGTGTGCCAGGCACCTGGCTGGGCATGCCCAAGGCATCATGGCATGGGTTATGGGGTGGGTGTCCTGTGTGGGTGGGCCATGCTGAGTGCTACACCCGTCTCTCCTCTAGCAATTTGGCAAGGCAGAGTTGGGTTAAGTCACTCTGGGCAGCAGCCAGGGGAGGGAGCCAGCCAGCAAGAGAGCCACCTGGCAGCTTTCCCCTTCGAGGGTGGATCCAGTGAGCTTAGGCGTGTGGCAGCCGTGGGCACTCAAGACTGGTGCACTTGTCCAAAGCCAACTGAGATCTGAGCATTGGTGGCAGACAGCAGAAGGGAGAGTGGTGTGGTATTTCCCATAAGCCCACCCTGTCTTAAACCATGTCAGGGCACATTGGTGATGAAGTACTCAGGCTTTCTGGGCGAAGCCCTCTGCAGGGGCCAGGCTGTGTGCTGAAATACCTTGCATGTGGTATCTCATCTAGTCTTCATAGAAACTCCTTGAAGTAGGTCCTGCTTATTCCTGTTTTACAAGGAGAAAGCTAAGGCTCAGAGACATCTTGGAATCTTGGAAATCTGTGTAGAAATCTTGGTTCCTCCACTTGCTAGGTGACTTCAGGCCAGTTACTTAACCTCTCTGAGCCTCTGTTTACCCGTGTCATAGGATAGAAGCAAGGATTCAGTGAGACAGTGTAGCTAAAACATTTAGCCTGGCAGCTGGCATAGTAAATGATCAAATAAATAATAAATAAATAAGGTGGTGGTTATTATTGCTATTATTATCATTTATCTTTTTGCAAGGGAATATTCCTTGCCAGTTTAACAGAGATACAAGATTTGAAATTGATGCCTTGGGCTGGCCCGGTGGCGCACTGGAAAGTGCGCCACTTGGGAGCACGGCGGCGCTCCCGCCAAGGATTCGGATCCCATGTGGAGATCGGTTCCCGCTCACTGGCTGAGCGCGGTGCGGGTGCAGCGCCGAGGGTTGCGATCCCGTTGCTGGTCCCTGGTGCGGGCACGACACCGTGGGTTGTGATCCCGTTACCGGTCGGTAAAAAAGACAAAAAGGAAAAAAAAAAAAAGAAATTGATGCCTTGATGTCTACAGGGAGTGGTTATTTTTAAAAGAAAAATATTTCATTATTATTATTAGCAGTAGATAAGTTTGTAAGTTTCCTGCCGAGAGGGGACTACTATCATCTTCAGGACCTTATTGGCTTGTGGAGGTGGAGCCTCTTTTAGTTCATGGAAAAAGAATTTGTCTTGGTTTTTGCCCTGGACCCTATCCTATAACCAGATTCATTCAGATGCTCTGAGCAAAAGGCCTGGTATGTAGTAGTTGCTCAATAAATGCTTGTTGGATGGGTAGATGAATGGTGTTCCCAAGCTCACTGTGGCTAATGGGTGATTCGATTCAGGCACAAACTGGTAGCTTCCCATGCAAAGGGGGTGTGATTGAGTATCTCCCCTTTGCAGAGCCGTTTCCAGGTGCCACGAACATCTCTTGGAGTTAGTCACTTAATTGATTGTGATGGCCAGAGATAGAGGAGCTGGCAGGAAACTGAGATGCTTACCACCCAACTCGAAGACCAGGCATAGGGGTTAGAGGCAGTGAATGTGACCTCGAATGTCAGGCATGCACTAACTGTAGCGGGAACTTCATTCATTCATTCAATGAATATTTCTGTGCCTGGTGCTGGGATGCAAGGAGACACCCTGTTGGGGCCAAGTAAAGGAGGAGAACTGGTTAATGTGTGAATCTCAAATGGACTTTTCAGGGACTTTTTGTCACAGAGAGAGGAAATCTGGGGCCACTCTCTACTATAATGAGCAGGACTCTTGTAGTTCTGTGAGAGTACTTCACAAAGTTCATGGAAAAAATAGAATTAAAAGATAATACGAGTCTTTCCATGAACTTTGTGAAGTACCCTTGTATGTGAGAGAAACTCACCTGGAACCAACTTAAATAAAAGAGGACTTTTATTGGCTCAGGTGATTTGAAAGTTCCAGGTCACTGGCTTCAGGCATGGCTGGATCTAGCTGTTCAAATGATGTTATCTCATCCTGCTCATCTCCTGGCTCAGCTTTTCTCTGTGTGGGTGGTCTTTGTTCTCCCCTGACAGCTTGGTTTCACCAGCCTGGCAACTCCCAGGGACAGAAGGCACCTCCTAACCAATAGCTCTAGCAAGTGTCACAGGATTCACTCTGATTGGACCAACTTGGGTCCAGGCATTTGCCCAAGCTGTTCTGAGCACCTGGAGCATCTTCCCTTCTCTCTCTACTTAACCCAAACCTACCTGCACTTTAAGTCCTGCGTGAGCTTCATAGCTACCAGCAACTGCCTCCTTCTCTTTTTGCCTTCATTGTCTTCTGCATTTTTCCTCTCTCTCAGGGCATGGTCATCTTTTTTTATGCCTTGTGTCTAGTTCTACCAGCTCTTATGCCAGATAGGCCGGGGCCCCTGACGGGAGAGAGCTTCGTTTTTGCTTCTCCTTCTTCCCCCCATACATAGTATAAAAAACATGATAATGAATGCTTGTCGATGGATTTTGAGTGTTAAGAAGGATTTAGTTTAGAAGCCAAATCCCAGGATGGTTCATGGGAGGCTGGTGGGTCAATGGAGCCCAAAGGCAAGCCCAGGAATCACATTGCTGGACCCCATCTTTAACAAGGTCCAAAGACTTGGACAGTCTCACACAGGCCAGGTGGGGAGGTGGGAAAGGGGGAGGAAGCCCAATTCAGAAACCAGGCTTTCCCCATTCAAATCCCAGCTCTTTGCCCTTCTGGCTGTGTGATGTGTGGCCAGTTGCTTCACCTCTCTGTGTCACCGGTCCCTTGTCTGTAAAGTGAAATAATTCACACAACACATTTAAGGAAAGGGCTGGCATACAGTGAGTCCTCATGAATTGTTGGTCGATGTCATTATTGCTGGGCTGTTTTCAGCATTGCCAGGTAGGAAGGGGGATTATAAACTCCATTCCCAGTTAACACAGTAGGGAAGAGAGCCTGGTGAGTTCAGAGACACCTCTAAGGTCATGGAGCACCAAATGTTGGAATGGCCCCACCCAAGTCACCTTGACTCCCATTTCAATCTTTGCTCTTTCTTCACCTTGGCTGTCCTTTTTGGAATCACTGGGCTTGTAGCCTGCTGTGGC